CAAAATGGTTAACCTTGCAATCATTTACAGTCTTTTATTGCCTCCTACTGGTGGCAGAGTGGCACGATCCCTAAAGTGATTTAAAAGCAGTGGGAAGAGCTAATGAACCAATGACCAAAGATTTGTTTCCATGGCACAGGATGCTGGTGTGACCCAGTTGGGTCGGTGCCAGTAAATTTCGGCAGCGGGACACCATGGTGCCATCCTAGAAGTGGACAGTGCCACTGTAAACCTGGCGTGGGCGGCACTACCTGCAGCCACTGTCTACCAGGGTACTGGAGCTTTGGAGAGGAGGGCTGCAAATCTTGTGTGTGCCCTTTGACCTGTGATCCCGTCACAGGTCATTGCCTAGACAGGTCAGACTACATTCTGAATTCTTTCTAAATTTACTATTTGTGATTTGAAACTAAAACACTGAGAATTTCAAATGTAAATATCTGGTTTTAGTGACTTAATGAGGTTGATTATAATTGCATATCTGTTGGGGATTTTTAAATAGATTTTTGTTGTCGTATCATTTTCCTTTAACAGCAAAGGTGGTATCAAGCTTTACAATGTACCAATTGGTGGGAAAATTCCTGAACTGTCCCACTTTAAACCTCAAGAGGGCGAGAGGGTGTGGCCTAAAGAACTGGCCGTCTCTGCACTGTACTATACAGGTGAGCCGACTACAGGAACAAAACATTCCACATTAACAGCAGCTATTGTTAAACGTGGGAAACCGCAGCACGAAATGTGACTTCAGGATGTGGCTTTTCAAAAAATGTGGCTTTTTATGTGGTTCCTTTACATGTAAGGCTGAGATAATTATGTATTGCTGTGTAAATGGGTGAATTTCACAAACCTATCTAGAACATGTCCAGGTCATCCAAAATTATAATAAAACAAAAATATAAATACTTAAGGAAAATGAAGCCTATTGTAGGACCATTGGACATTGTTTTCATAGCAATATTCTCATTACAGTACTGCAAAAATTAGTATATGATTAAACACTATTTTTTAATAGATTTTTAATGGTTTTGAAGGAAGTCTCTTACACTCAGTCGCTTACACTCACCAAGGCTGCATTTATTTGATCAAGAATCCAATAAAAACAGTAGCGTGGTAAAATACTATTGTGGTTTTAAAATAAATGTTTTCTGTTTTTATATATTATAAAATGTCATTTACTCCTGTGATGCAAAGCATCATTACTCTTGGCTTCAGTGTCACACAATCCTTCAGAAATCATTCTAATAAGCAGATTTGCTGCTCAAGAAACAATTTTCTTAGTATTATCGGAGTTAAAACATTGAAAGCTCAACTTTGAATAGGAAGCTCAAAAGAATGGCATTTATTACAAATAAATCTTTTGTAACATTATAAATGTCTTTACTGTCATATTTGTATTGTAAATAAATAAAGTAAATAAAAGTATTCATTTATTTTTTCTTTTGAATAGTATATGTATATATTTTATTATTTAAATTTTATATTATTAAAAAAACATTGTGTTGCAGTCATTGTCTATACTGTGATACAGTACAGTACAAAACATTTTACATTTACATTACATTTAGTCATTTTGCAGACGCTCTTATCCAAAGCGACTTACAATTGGGGAATGCATAAAGCGATTTTTCTTAAAGAGGCTAACAGACACAGGAAGTGCTCGTAATACTAAGTTTCAGGCATTTGTTCAAATAAGTACAAGCTAGAAAGGGAAGGAATAAATAAAGAGAAAGACAATATTTTTTATACATTTTGGATGAAGTTAAGTAGCGTCGAAAGATATGTGTTTTCAGCTGTCTCTCGAAAATTGTCAGGGATTCAGCATTCCGGATAGGGGTGGGAAGATCATTCCACCAGCCAGGAATGGTGAACGAGAATGTTCTGGAAAGTGATTTTGAGCCTCTCTGTAATGGTACCACAAGCGTCGCTCACTAGCGGATCTCAGATTTCTGTAGGGGATGTAGATTCGTAATAGTGAGTGGAAGTAGGTGGGTGCTGAGCCTGTGGCTGCTCTATATGCAGGCATCAATGTCTTGAACTTGATGCGAGCTGCAACCGGTAGCCAGTGCAAGGAGAAAAAGAGAGGTGTAACATAGGCCCTTTTGGGCTCGTTAAAGACCAGTCGTGCCGCTGCATTCTGAATAATTTGTAGAGGTTTGATTGTGCTTGATGGAAGTCCAGCCAGAAGAGCATTGCAGTAGTCCAGCCTAGAAATGACAAGGGCCTGGACAAGAAGTTGTGCAGCATGCTCCGATAGAAAGGGCCTGATCTTTCTGATGTTGTGCAATGCAAACCTGCAAGATCGAGCAGTCTTTGCAATGTGGTCTCTGAAGGTCAGCTGGTCATCAAAGATTACACCAAGATTTCTGACCGAACATGATGGGGTACTTGTAGAAGAACCTAGCTGGAAGGTAAAATCATGCTGTAGAGTTAGAGTGGCAGGGAAGACAAGAAGCTCAGTTTTTGTCAGGTTGAGCTGTAGGTGATGTTCTTTCATCCATGCCGAGATGTCCACCAGGCAGCCTGAGATCCGTGTAGCTACCGTTGGATCATCTGGTTAAAATGAGAGATAGAGCGGTGTGTCATCAGCATAGCAATGGTAGGAGAAGCCATGTGCCTGTATGAGCTACCGTTGGATCATCTGGTTGAAATGAAAGAGCTGTGTGCATAGCAATGGTAGGAGAAGCCATGTGCCTGTATGATGTGATCCAGTGATGTAGTGTATATGGAGAAGAGGAGGGGTCCAAGAACTGATCCCTGAGGAACCCCAGTGACCAGTTGATGTGCTTTGAAAGGGAGCTCCGGGAATGAGGACCGCAGCCCATCCAGCTCCTCTAGGAAGAGTGCCCTAGAATGTGCCCAGGAGGGCGGTAAATGACCACAACCTGGAGTTTTATAGGAGCTGTTACAGTAATCGCATGAGATTCAAATGAGTTATAATTGCATAGGGGAGAGTGGGTTGAGTATTTCCAAAATTAAGTCTGCTTTGTTGACAGCTGACTGACAATTCAAGAGACCCACAGAGAAAGAAAGAGGTGCAGTAGAAGATGTAGAGATAGGATCAGGTTAGCAAGATTGCGTTTCCGTCTGCGTGTGATGTTAGAGCGTTGTTGAGAGACAACCGGAATGTTTTGGAAACACATGATAGAGGTGGAAAAGAGAGGACAGAAAAGGAGAGTGTGTAAAGGGAAGTTAAAAATAATACTTAAGTGCGTTGCCGGTTTTGTTGCTCGGTGAAGTCGCGCAGGTAAAGTCGCAGGTCTTTACACTCGTCGGTCTTCCCATGTTGAGGCTGAACGCTTCAACGAAATACACAGTCTAAGAAACAACAGTGAAAACAGCTGTGGCCACCTTCTAATTAGCACAGCCAATAGCCTATAGCAGGGCAATTGCTCAAATCGAAAATACAGTTTGCACTTAAGTCCAGGAAGAGAGCAATGCCAATAACACAGGCTCCTTCATAGCCGACAGCAATTATTATAATTACCAGTAAGTCCAATCAAAAATACAAACTACAAGGAAAATACAAAGTAGAAATAGGTAGACAACGAAATATTCCTTCCTAGCAGCAAGTAATAATTTCAACAACAGATCTCCAAACAAAACAAAACGCGCTGCCATCCGTCTCTTCTGTTATCTTAAAAACTTCAAAATAAAAATATTCATGCTCAATGCGATAATGAGAACTTGGGGTAAAAACATTTAATTATCATTAAAAAAGTCACTGCATTCGATCTTAATGGTCTTAAAATTAGCCGTCCTTTTATTTGTGGAAAAAACTATATATATATAAATTTGTAATAACCTCTGAAATGTTTCTTGTCAATTCTTTACAGGGAAGTGCAGCTGTAAGGAAAAGAAACTGAAAAGTGTGTCAGATCTTTGCAAGATGAAACACACATATGGTGAGGCTTTTTAGTGTATTGAATCATTTAATTTCATGCTATGAATCGTTTCGGTTGACACTTGCTGTCTAAACATTTAAATCTAATGATAGAATTGACTGTTTGTGGTGTTCATAGTGATCAAAGCCAGCGTGCTGTCAGCTCATGATAAAGGCACACACGCAGTTGTCCTGGTGAAGGTGAGGAAGGTGTTTCGTTCTGGAAAACTGCCCCTCTCCCAGGGCACACACAGTCTCTATCCGCTCTCCTGGACCAGCCGTGGCTGCACCTGTCCCATCCTCAACCCAGGTACAGCACCCAACAACTATTTGGGTCATGGCTTTGATTCAGTCAAGTTCACCATTAGAGAAGTGACTTTTATGTCTCCATCTTTAGGTGGGAACTATCTACTGGCAGGTCCTGAAGATGTTGACTCAGGATGGCTACTGGTCACCATGCAGAGTCTAGTAGTCCCCTGGACCCCCATCCTGGGCTTTCAGGTCACAGAAGCACTGCATCAGGGCTGCTTATGAGCGTGACTTTACCCAAATACAAGTACAGTAGCTCAACACTGCCCAAACTTGAAAGCCCTCACTATACCAAAGCAGGCAGCCGGATCCTAAATAGACCATGACCGCCGGATGCAACTGAAATGGAATGAGGGTAATTACCAGAAACAAGATTCATGGAGAAATCGCATGGCAACGTGCACTGAATAGCCACTTCAAATAACTGTAATAGTTATACAGCACCTCTTGAGCAAGGCTCTTAAAAATAACTCTTTATCTTGGTGGCTGTTGCCTTGTGGACATGGAAGAACCTGGATATGGCATTCATAAGACTGAATGAACTGTTTCTGTACTAATTTCTCTGTAGTTTCTAGATTATCATCTTCAAAAATTAGTTTCTTGAAGATGGCAAACGCAAGCCAGTGATTTTTGAGATTCATTCACACTTATTTTATTTGCTTCTCTTACTACATTTCAGTCAGGTGTTTTTAAAAATGCATTTGAACATCACACAATTGAAAAATGAAAAAAAAAAAAAAAAAAAAAAGAACATCACACAATTGAAAAATGAAAAAAAAAAAAAAAAAAGGTACAGTCTGATTTAAATTCTCCTAGTGCTTATGCATGATTTGGACTCAGTATCTTTTGTTTTATTAAAAGATTTTTCAGAAACAGATATATCACAGATGAAAAGATCATTATGTTTCTTGTTTAATCAAAATAGGAAAATTCACATTAAGGCTTTGAATGACATGTCAATCTTGGATAAACAAATGTCATTGATTGAATATATCAATAAGCCACATAAGCTTAAACATATTTAGGAGTTATAAAAAGGATCTGATATTCGCACAATTTTTAACACTGTTTATTATTAGCATGTGTTGAAAATGGATCTAGAAACAGCCCTCAGTGTTAAGATACTTCAATTGAACGAAACCTTACTAGTCTTTGGAACAACAGATCTTTGTATGTTCTTACTAAACAGAAGATCCATTCTTTTATAATGTGTTGTTTTGCCATTATAATCGTTTAACGTCAACAAATTATGTATTTTTATCATCAGATGACGGGTAAGGCTACTGGTTTACTTACTCACACCCCCTAATGTTTGTACTTGCAACCTTGGGCTACATGCTTTCCAACACTTCAGCAACAGAACATTTCTTCATCATAAAATTGTTTAATCATGTTCTACAACAAAACAGCACATGAAATGTTTATTTGTTTTGTTTATTCAATCTCCAATGCCAGTTGACCTTTGATCTGTTGTAGCACACAAGTCAAACAAGCTAAGCTTAGGTTGTGGAGCAAATAATAATCAGAAAATACAAAGCCGGACGGTTCAAATGGCAGCTAACGTTTCACAGGCCAAGTGCAAACTGACCTGCCATTCGTACAGATCCTCATCTTTTCATCGGTCCCTTAAGTGCATGTTAATGTCATTCGAATATTTGATTCACAAAATGCAGTCAGGTGGAGAGCATCGATCCAGTGGCATAGTTAGACATTATCTCTTCATACTCAAAAGTGGAGCTCTCTTTGCTGTGAGGTGTGAAGGGAATGAAGCCAAGATAATATTAGCTAGCTGCTGGGTTTTCTGTGGTTGCTGGTGTGGAATCAGGAGAGGATGTAGGGACAGAGTCAGTGGGTGCAGTATCCGCCCCACCAGAGGGGGCACTGTCATTGTCATCTTCCTGAGGGTAGAGCTCAGGGTACTTCTGCATACACTCCTGCATACTCTGGAAGTTTTCCACACAATCTGAACCCTTTACCTCCTCTTTACTATAGTGGAAACAAGAAAAGGCGTCCTTGAACTGCTGTCCACAAGGGCCACTGGCCATGCCGCCCAAACACGGGCAGTTCCAATTTATATCACCATTAGGGAGAATAAGACCTGTAGGACCAAATGAAATGAGTGTAAAAATGAGTATCCTAGACACAAGATAAGGCGTATTTCTTGCTAAACTACATGATAATTCTTTACTCAAGGATTAATATATTAGTTCAAAAACTTACCGTGATCCTCATATGGATCATTTGGATCATCTTCGATAAGCTCAGCATTACTGGGTGCTTCATGATCCTCCTTGGTGACAAATATGATGCGATCTTTACCTAGTGAGAGACAAGAAGGACGTTATACACAATGTTATCAAATGTTTTAGGGGGGACCAAATAACCAGCCACTGAATATTACATATTAACTGACCACTAGACCACTGTTATTATTGTTAAAAACAAAAATAGTAAAAAAAATAAAAAAAATGATTTAACCGAATTAAAGCTCAAATTAAAATAAATATGAAATGTTAAATTAAATATACAAATGTTGACTTGGCAATTAACTGAAATATGTTTAAGTACAACAACAACAATAAATCATAATAATAACAATAATAATAATGTAATTAACTATTAAAGCTAAATGGAAATATTAAAAACAAAAACTACTAGAAATGACAAAGATCACAAAATTATTAAAACAAACTCAAATTCTAACGAAAAGTGAATATATAAATAAAAAACAAAATACATATATTACATATTAATACTAGTAAATAAATAATATTAAAAATAATAGCACTGTACTATACTAAATTTGGTTGGCAAACAATCAATGTCAATGTCTTGCAGACCTGATGAAATATTACAGACGCTGGACTGCATTTTCTGAGTAACCAAAAACCTTTACACTTTATAAAAGGTTAAAGAAAACATTTGGTCTGTACACAAGAAATAAATGAACCACTTACACAAGTTCTGTGTCATGAACTGAGTGAATTAACACTTTTTTTATTATTAGATTTAAATAAATCTAACATTCTAACTATTGTAATGTTGTGTGTTTAGGTTCATATTACATCATACTTTTTATGTAACTCAGAATGTTTTCATAATTAATAAATTAACCATGTGGGTTATGAACTCCCCGGGTTATGACCTTGCAGGCACCTGCTTCATGTAGTAGGGTGACACAACATGGCTAAGATGGCTGAAGAACTACATCAAAATAAATCAGATATAGGACTCATGGAAAACGTATTGACTTACACTAGAAATGTATGATATTTTATTGAGCGCTTGCGAACTCAGTTTAATTAGAATTTTCATCTTTAGTTTAACCAATAAATCAGTAATTCATCACCAAACTTACAACACGCAAACAATAGAAGATAATATAACACCACACATTCGACCACATCTGAAAAAATGATTTGGAGCTCATAAATATTTAAATAACTCATTGATCGTACTAAGCATGGCTGGTGAGAGTGACTTTTAAGGGCATGAGCATTAGCTACACCGCTAAACGACAGTGAAAGATGGGTATAAAATGGGTTTAAACGGTCCGAGTTAGTTCAGACATACCTTCCTGCTTGCAGTACGACATGTCTGCTGACAGATCCGTCTGATCGCCGTTTATCCGATCAATGAATCTCAAACACCGGCACAATGATCGATCCAAACGCCCGTTACATCAACTCCAGCATGGAGGTAGCGACAGTGACCACGTGACCACAGCCGGGTTGTATCAAAATAAAAGTGACATTATTCTTCTTCTGTGAGTTTATTGGCGGGTTGCAAACCAACTGGAAAGGTGTACATCTGTACTGTACTGGAGTGTGATGAAGCTGGAACACAAAGATTTCTATATTCTGTTCCTTAGACCGCTATTTCTCAAGATCTTCATTAATGCTGTAATTATTTTATTAAATTCTACTCCTGCCTTTAAAATATTATTTAAGGTAAATTCCAATATACCCAAAGCTTGCATATCTCTTATAAGTTCAGTTCTTTCCTGTTTTTACATCTAATCAAAACATGCTCAACCGTTTCCATTTCCTGACGTGCATTACATAAACCAGAATTATGTTTGCCGATTATATGAAGTGTTACATTAAGATTAGTATGATCCATTCTTAATCAAGTATATATAATAAAGTCCTTCCTATTTATATAATGCTTAATTATACCTTGTTTTATGTTACTTTGTATTCTATAAAAATGTCTTCCTTTTTTACATGAGTTCCAGTAGTTCTGCCATTTACTCCTACAAACTTGCTTAATCACAGACTTTCCTTCTGCCCTGCTTAAAGTGACTGCTACGCTAATATTATCCATTTTAATTGCTTCTTTAGCCATTTTGTCTGCGGTTTCATTCCCTCGTATCCCTACATGCGCTGGTACCCATGCAAATTGCACTACACTTCCCATTTCATCATGACATTCAAAATAAAAGTAAAGGAAAATAACGCATTTTTTAAGTTTGCTACTTTTCAAATGTATAAGTTCACATTTATATGTACAGATTATAATGTTTTATCCGTTTCCAAGACCCAGACTTCAGTCTTTTAAAAACTATGAAAATGCTTCTACAAAATTATTTCATTTATAAAACTATGATAATCCAGGCAAAGAGTGGAGTAAACAAGCTGCCAGTGTTTACATTATGAAATTGATTTATTTAAAGGGGTCATATGATGCGATTTCAATTTTTCCTTTCTCTTTGGAGTGTTACAAGCTCTTGGTGCATAAAGAAGATCTGTAAAGTTGCAAAGACTAAAGTCTCAAATCCAAAGAGATATTCTTTATAAAAGTTCAGAGTCAGCCACACCCTCCTAAAACGCCTCGTTCTAACACGCCCCCACATATCTACCTCACTATGTGGGAAGATTTGCATAACGCCGCCCAAATGTTCACACAAAGAAAGAAGGCGTAACTTTTAGTCTCACTGTAGTTTTGTTGACGCTGCAGCCATGTCGTGAAGACGCTGTGTGCTTCGTTGTGAAAGCGAAACTACTTTGTTTGGTCTTCCAAAAGAGGACGATATCCGCTTCGTCATGCCTAGAGCTGATCTGTGCTGGTCGCTATAATGTTCTTTTTAGCAGCATCATATGACCCCTTTAAATAATAATAATAATAATAATGCATTTTTCACAAATTATGTCACTCAGTTGTGTTGTGGCTCCCCCTCCCCACTAAAGTTTGGTTATTTGTTTACCAAGGGACAACAATGAAGAGCATGCCTCAGACATATGATGAAAACCAAGGTAAATATCACTTCCCTTACCAAAAAGTAGTACACTTCAAGTTTATTTTAGTAAGTATACTTAAGTAAAGTTCAAGTATATTTTTAAGTATACTTTATAAACATTTTATTCTAGCTTCATGCATTCTTTGTTTAAACACTTAAATGTGGAGAAGTTTCATAAATAAAGAAATAAACAACATTATGAACAAAAAGCTGAAAAAAAGACTATGAATTGGATTCAGAATGATAATCAAACCATAGATAAAGTCGATCAACACCCCAAAGCTTGACAGTTATTATTACCTCTTCATGGGTCAACATTTTATTCCATAATGTTACATAGTTTTGATGCTGTTTTATGTCTGATGATCGTGTTAGAATACATGTGGAAGCATCTGTTGTTTCGGTTTCTTCTTCACTTGTGTTTTTTGGAAATTCATTACAGAAGATGTGTACTAGCGCCCTCTACAGTATAACAATGAAAACACGGATTCTAGGAGCACAATTATAGCTAAAATATATTTAGACTTTTTCTAAGTATAAGTCAAGTATACTTAAATGTCATTTTAAGTATATTTCTGAGAAGTACATAAAGCCCATTTCTGAGAAGTACATAAAAAGTAGACTAAAATTATACTTTCCTATTTTTAGTTTAAAAGAAGTATACTAATAGCACACTTGAATAAACGTCTTTTTCGTAAGGGTTGTCAACAGGATATTTTTATTATGGGCCATCAAGCTCTGTTTTTTAAAATAGGAAAATGTTGTGACATTGTGTGCATTTAAGATTAATATACTGCTAGCTTGTCCTTAGCAAGACAACGGAGTATAGGCCATTTTATTCCAAAAATGTGATGGAAATGCCATTTGTTCATGACAATCTGAGGAACAAAACAGAAAATAAAAGAAAAAAAAGTTTCATGTATGTTCTGGACATTGTTAGCGCAGAAGAGTCTGAAAAGGCTGTTTATTTGTCCCAGTAAAGTTTAAGAAAAAAACTAAATGTATTCGTCAAGAATATCAAAATGATTTGTAGTACAGTTTCAACCATAGCAGTCCTCTGCCACTTTTCTTCGTGCCTAATTCTTTAAAAAAAGGCTTGTGTACTGGGAATCTCAGTCTCAGGCTGAACAGTTGCAGCTATTTTACTGTCATGCCCTCAGACTTCACTGACAGCTTGTCAGGAAACAGCGTGCAGGCTGTGTTTTACTAATTAACCGAGGCACCTGAGGTGAACTACAGCCCTGTGCTTTTCTGCTGACAGCTTTTTACCCACACACCTCATTACAGAAGACACATGCTGCGAAACACAAACTGGGCCTAATATTTTTATTGATATGTGATATGTTGCATCGTTGTGAGGTTTTATACTTGACTTCTTAAACAGACAAAGTTTGTGGGGGATTAAAACTGTATTATTGATCATTAACTAACTGTTAACAATTGGTGTAGAAATAATTTTCGCTTAGAACTTGCTAGTAAATGTCACAAATAATTACAATAAACCGGCTAGTAACACATTTAACTCAATTAGGCCTAAATGTGAAATTTTGAAGTAGAAAGACTAAAATAGTATTTTCTTGTTAAACGTAGGCTATTACAATAATGTTTGTTTTCTTGCAACTTTTACAAATATTTATTAGTTTTTATACAGCGTAGCTTTTTTTGTAACACTAGATAAAAGGTATTTTGGTATCAATGTACCACTAGGTGGCAGTATATGTTGATTATCTGTTTAGCTTAATGACAGCGACAGTGGTAGTAAAGAAACATCAGCTTTCTGTGGTTGTGTTTTGAATAAATAAGTAAAATAAAATGTAAAAAAAAAAAAAAGATAGAAAAAAAATGGAAACATTTTCCATCCACTTCATACACCTCACCTGCCTCTACATCTTGTTAGCCCCCAATAGTATGTTCCTGCACAACCGGAGGCTGCAGTTTCAGGACCGCAGTTCTAGGACCGCAGTTCTAGGACCCTATTCTTTTGTAACAGCGCCACCTACTGAATTGGATCACTAAAGATGGACGACATGGACAGCAATCAGAGTGAGTAACTTTACCGATTTTCAATTAAGTTTTATTTTATAACCTTAAAATGATGCAAAGTTTACGTAGCCAACGTGAGAACTGCTAAGAATTAATAATGAATTCCCGATTGCTAATTTTATTGATTATTACTATGTTCTTAATTCGTGACCATGATTTAATTAAGCTAAACCTTGTTGACATAATGACTACAATAAGTAAATCTAGCCAGCACATTAATTAAACTTAAAAAGATGATAAAAGCATGTTGATGTGAGATGTGTCAGATTTACCTGTAGCTTACTGTATTAGTGTGAAAACTTGTTTGATACTCATTGTTTTAGCATATTAGTAAGAATAAATCATCTTTCATAATTAAACTGGGCTCATTGCTTGGTTGCGCCACAATATGTGTTATTAGCCTGTCCTTTTGGCAGTACTTTATATTAATCTTGTTGATGTTTGAAAGGCATGGTCAGCGTTAAAGAAAATGTTTCTTATTTAATTCTCCCTCCCTCTCTCTCTGTCTCTTTTTTTTTATCTCTCTCAGGAGCTGAAGCCTACAGCCTTTCTGTCCATGCAGCAACTGATGGAAAAGGGGGTCTTTTTTTATGATCCTCTGGCTGGCTGCATAGACTCTTTCACCTACAATGCCTTTTGGAGATTGTGGATCCTTGGGTTTGTGTATACTGTACGTGTTTGCCCTTCAGTCACGTTTTTGTGTAGAGCTTGTATCAGCTCATCTGGTTTTGGCATGGAGAGATGCTAAATTGAATCTGCATGAGGGAGGAAATGATGTCACACCTATCACTAGGGCTGTGCAATATATCGAAATATCGCAAATGTACATATCGCTACAGCTTGCAATATTTGGGGCCATGAACAAAAGACAAAGAGAAAATCACTCACTGCTCTTACCTAAATAACTTTTGTAGCTTAAATAAGAATCAGTGCATATTGAATTCATAGAGTAAATACTAAGCAGTGTTGTATTTTTTCTTTTTATTATTCAGTTCCTAAACTCATGTTAAAATGATTACACTAATGTTAAAATGACATTTTTATGTAATGCTCGAGTAAAACACATACCGTTCACTTTCAGAAGTTGTTGTAGGGGTGCTTTCTTATTAGAATCAGAATCAGAATTAGCTTTATTCACCACTTAAGTGTGCGCAAACACAAGGAATTTGTTGTGGTTTTACAGTAACTCTTTGTACATACATACATACATACAAATAACCATATAGGCCTACTGTATATATGACACAAGATAGTTATAGAAGTTCACAGAACTGACTCAGCAACAGCTGAGTAAAACTGTTTCATCTGAGTATGTGGCACTTTAAGCATTATCGTATCGCATATCGAATATCGCATTATTTAATGAGTTATCGCATATCGCATTTTTCTTCAATATCGCACAGACCTACCTATCACCTTCACAGGCCTTCTTAGGTAAATACTTAT